CCAGTGAAAGGTGGTTTCCTTTTTATCAAGTTTTCTAGGTATTTTAGTTGATTAAAAAAAATACAACTTTTGTCTAATTTTAAGTACCTACTCAGATTAAGCAATTGATCATGTCTTTGTTTTATGTAGAACATGTATTTATATCAAAAGAGGAAGTGATGTGTATCGTAGGGGTATCTGTGAATAAACAACAGTAGAAATTAACAATAAACAATTGTATATAGATATTCTGTATATAAGATGAATTGAATATTTTGTACCAATATGTTTTAGTGCTGTTTCGTTGCTTTCGATATAGATTAAGCTGTATCTATATTGATTTTACTTATGTTATGAGAAGTATGTATGTATTATTTGATCAACTTTTCAAGGAGAGTTCCACGCTGAATGTTAAACCTCGTCAATGAAACTAGTGATAGTCTTGATCAATCTACATACAACATCAGAAACAAGTTTGTACCATGTCCAACATTCGCTCCTACAACTTCCAAATTTTGACTGTTGGGTTCTCTTCAGATGATGCAGAAAAACCTTTCCCTGCTAGATCAGGAATTTTGGGAGTTCCTTTACTGTGGCCAGTGTTACCTGGTATACATTTGTATACTTAAGACTGATCATGCAATACAAGGGCAGTAGTTTTCATAAGAGTTTTCTGTGCTAGTCCAGACCACTGTTTTCAAAATTTGAAATGCTATACAGACATGGTGGGTTAACATTTAGGAAAGCAGAAGCAAAAGTCTTGACACAAATATCTGAGGCCTGTAAATCATTGTTGAGTGCACCAAGAAGGAATTAATAGGTTACAGTCCATTTATAACTCTGTATAGGTTTATCCTATACTCATCACCAACAATTAACAAAAGTCTCTTACACCCATTACTTGTCTTCTACAGTTATCAAATATTTTCTCTATTTCCTAATATGGCATCGAGTGCCTGGTGAGATGTTTTCAAACTAAAGATAGTATTTCCGAGTATATGTATAAAGTATAAACTCGTCATTCAAAGAGTGCTACCATTTGGTAAGACTTTAACTTGTTTTACAGGAGTACATCTTTATATCTGATATAGTGAAGTCTTGTAAGCTAAAATTTAGTTGCTTTCCTTATTCAGAGTTATCGCCCTTTGTTTTTGATCTTGCATTGCTTAGTGAGGCAATACCGATCACACATAGAATATTTTTTAGTTACTATGGGTTCAACTGCAGGATTATATGTTGATAATTGGTATATGTGAATATGTACTGTACATGCAAAGATTTTAAGAATACAAGGAGGCATATTCTCACTGCCTTTCACTGTTAAAAGCTCTTCAAGGGAATGAATTCATTTTTTCAAATATATCAGCTTAACATTTTGCTATTCAAATAAACATATTGATATATACTTACTATATATAAATAAAATTATGTGTAGAAGATGCATGTTATCACAACATCAAGAAAAACAACCCTTAGCAACTATGACATTGATATGTACATATTTCAGTGGTGAAATATTTCAACATTTTGTTTAAATATGTAATTTAATCATAGGTACTGCTTTTCATTGCAAAATGTACTCCTGCTTGTAAAATAAGCATTAGTGATAAATTATTATGAATTAAACTTTAGTACTAACACCTGTAATCGTTTAGGTGGTGGTATGTTTTAGTACACTATAAACAAAAAGTAGAAATTATTGTATTCAATGATTTTATACTTGTAAAAAATAGAAATTTTTGTGTTTTAGTGATTCCTTAAGCATAGTGTTTTAGAACAATTTATCTTGTGGAAAGGAAGAATTTCAATATTTTTAAGTAAGTGAAAAATCTCAATTATCATCCATGTTTTATATGTGTTGTAATGTCATTACATTTCAATATCTGAAATACTTTTTGATATTGTTATGTTCTGAGGAGCTTTGTAAATATGAAATATTAGTTTATAGAAATTAACATGTGAAAGATTCAGTCTCAAGCCAGAAAATGTAATAGGTGTGTGTACATGGGTGATGCAAGTTTATTTGTGCTGTTTTGTTTTGGTCCCAATTAAAAGTGGGAGGTAAAATAATGTCAAATTTATCATAAATATGAATAATTGAAATTTTTAGAATTAACATAAAAATAAATTTATCTGCAATTAAAATTGGCTTTTATCATGAATAAATGATTTTCATTTTTAGAATTAACATACAGACGAAATGATCTGTAATAAGAATTTATTTATATATATATTTTTTTTTTTTTTTCTTAAATTGCTCCATTAAAACACGTGAATTATTATTTTCAGAACTGGAGAAAAGGAATTTTTTTATGAAGATGACTGTTTCTATTGTGGCTTTTTAAACATTTGACATTATTTTATTTCTCTGTGCATGCTTCTCTGTGATAAAGCAGCTTGTCTGAAAGTGTATCTACAGGTGGATGGTAAGAATGTATTTGTTAATTATATCAATTATCATTTTGTCAGCTGCATTGAGTTGAATGATTAAGAGTGCTACAACATATCTTGATTTAAATTTATACAGTTCATTCAATACCTAAGTTGATAAATATTTTATCAAAAATATATTGTCTTATTGCAAAACTGAATGACCAGTGTTATATACAAGATTGCCAACTCATTCCAACTATGGTGTGAATTTAAGCCTTTTATAGATCGTTTTTGAAAAAAAATCTATGAAACATCATTTGAGTAGTTAAATTCACTGGCAGTTTAAGAATTTTTTTATTTTATTTTTTGACATTGTTAATAATACTTTCATTATGACTTAAATCAATAAGATATGGAGTTAAAGAAATTCTTCATTTTAAACATAAATTTTTTTCGAAGTCTTCATTTCAACAATGATCCTGAATTCTATGAAATGAAGTAAAAAGATTTTTGGAGCAACAGAATTTTAACAGTTAATATTCTTTGGTGACCTACTTGACAAGAACTGCCTTAACCTACAAGTTTGGTTTTAAAAATTGGCAAAAGAATTTGAAAATGATGCTTCACTTGAGCATGTTGAGAGCGTTCAATAGGATACTTTTCAAAAGAACATGACCACAGGAAATTTAAGGACATCAATGCCACAGCTATTTGTCAACAAGTTTTGACAGGTTCATATCACAATAAAGATAATATATCAATTTTGGAAATATATTTTAGATTTAACACATAATCCTTTATTTCATATCTGTTTCATGAAAGTTGGCAAAGAAATATAATAGTGTGCCTGTATTTTGTCAGTATTTTTACGGATGAATTTGTAGAACTGTAAGGTTTTGTTAGATGTCAGTCACATTGTCGTACTTGTTTTTCTGCCTACAGTAGCTATATCTACTGTAGTTATTGTACCCTTCCAACGGCAGCTATCTTGTTTCAACAGTCTCTGTTGATGGATTTGAAAGTAATAAAATTTGTCAGATTGTAACATGTTGTGTTGTTTTCTGTTCAAATCTCCTTTTGTCTGGTATTTCTGCTAGTCCTTAAACAATTCTTGCAATTTCTCAAATACTGGATGAATTGTTTTGAAATGTCATACCTAGGATTAGTCATTATACATGATTTATCTAAAAACTACAAGGAACAAGAGACCATTTTCTATTTGGGTAATTGTTTCTCAAAATATACTGGAAGTATCTTGTGTTCTAATAGGGCCATACATTATGATGAATGATTTTTTTTTCTTACCCTACTGTCTTACATTATTATGTTTTCTAAATGTTGATGTGACAGTGAATTGTTACTGTGACGTCATATTGTCCTGACTGGGGATTCCCCTTGTCTAAACTTTTGGCGATGAGGAAATCTCACATCTGTAGAAACTGGATTTACCTGACCAAGGTAAGAGAATTCCGTTTCTCTCACCTTGAACAAGTGTATAAACATGTCTAGTAGATTTCCTTTTTCTTTCACAAACCCCTTCCTAATGCAGGGGAAGAAGGACTTGTCACAAGTGGTATAACATCACGTCAACACTTCTATTATGTTATATAAACATTGGAAAACCTTGTATGTACAGAGGCCAATAAAGGCATGAGATAGGTAATTATTGAGGGTGACATGGGGTAATCTCCCCTTGTCTTGTATATTCCGACGTAAGGAAGATTTTGAAATGTTGCACAAACTCTGCATACTCCCATAAGTTCACTAGCTATCTTGATCTAGAGAAAATAATATCACACAATACCTTAAACCAGAATCTTCACCTCAACCAAAAACCTGTTTTTGAAATTGTGAATGTGAAACTTATGCACTAATAATTTCTGCTCAAAATCTATAATTGAATTCCCGTTTCAAGTTAAGACTTCAAAAGCAGTACATTTAAATTTCTTATTCAAACATGAAAAGGTCAAAACACCCCCATTGTACTTGCCTAAATGATATCATTTCTAAAAATATTTCAAGCTGGCAATAATTGGGTATTTATAACAGGGTTGTGGAAAGCCAAGCATCCCCTCACAAAACATCTGATCTTGGATGTGATTTATCAATGTCCGTGTGTGACAGTTTGATGTAATTTAAGTTAAATTTTTACTACTCTATTTCAAGTGTCCTTCGGTATGCATGCAAAGTATGTTTTACTTAATGGAATGGTTTTTCTCCAAATCTTATTGAAAATCTATTTATAGAAAACAAAGCAACCATAAAACTTTGACCATGACAACAAATATTTACATCTGATGAAAACATGCACGTTTAAGCAAAATCTGATAATGGTTTCTTTATACAAATCCAATTTTGTTTAATTACCTAAAATGACCTTCATCACTGATCTTGAATATTCTATATATCATATTGTAATTAATTTTCTCATGAAAAGGAATGTCAAATTGGTATACAATTCTAGCCACAATTCTGTGTTTAAAATTAATAACACCAAAGGGAGGTAATTCTATATATCCCCTGGGTTAAGAAACAAATACTAGCAAATCAAAATCAACAGTAGACCTGGTAAATTATCGGGGCGCAGAAGGAGACCATCAGGAAATATGAAATAAGCATGTGAGCGTTGTATAAAACACATAACACACTTTAATAAATGTTTATCTTTTATTCACCAATCACAGAATCTACAACAACAGTTATGATTTTGATGACCTTGACTTGTAAAATACATCAAGTTTTAAACCAGTCTCGGTGACATCTGGCAAGCTGATGTAATATTCATTGGGATACCAATGATGAACTCAAAAGCATCAAAAGCTGTCACTGTGACGAACTTATTTGCAAAAACCGATAATGACTTATCCTTGTTCTGTTGTGTTTGGGCTTAACTTCCACACTTCGATATATTTGTTGACATTTTGTAAATATTTTGATTAATCTATTTGTGATTCCTCTCTTGATAAATTTATACATATGCAACATTTTGTAACATGGTGTTCCATGGAAAAGAGGCAAGTCTGTTCACAAAGAGCAATTCATTTGAGAAATACACTTACTGAGTAGATATATCATACAGTAGTTATACTTAAAATTACATCAAATCACAATGTCCACTAATCCAGTACTACATTATAAAGTTGTATATTTATGTCATGATCCTCTTTGATTTATTTTCGGTCTGCGGTATAGCCATCCTTTCACACAATAACATCCATATCTATAACACACAATTAATTTGGAAAATGGTTGATAGTGCTTTTCTTGTTCTGCCATTCTGTACTGGAATTTGTACGATGAAGCAGATTACATGCCAGCACGTTTGTCCATACTTCTATGACTTTTTGAAGTTCTTGAACTCTGAATCAAAGTCCTTATCACTCAAGTTCAACATAAGGTTTCCAGCATTCAAGTATACTCTGTTTTGTGAAGCAGAGACCTAAAAAATAATAAAAAAAAGAAATATCAGAAAAATTAATTAATAATCATTTTTCGGTTATTTTTTTTCTTGACTGATTAAAACCTTCTTAATTTTACCAATGTAGCAGAAAAGTTAACATTTGTAAAAATGCCTCGAGAACTTGTTGTTTCAGCAATACTCTTGAAACTTAACTTAATTATAATTTGGAACATAACATTTCATTACATAAAATAACATAATACTTTGTTTACATTAGCAGTCTATGTTTTGATGACATTTTAGGGTTTTCAGCATTTTTTTTATTTATTGGAAATTAAACCCTTGGAAAATGAATATTCAGGGTCTTATTTCTGGTGAAAACATTTTTGGGATGTTTTGAAGACTTACTGTTCTGGCAATACTTTGGGCAGCACGGATCTTTCTCAGTTTCAAGTAACCAGGGTTCGTGGATATGGATTCTCCAATGTTCATCAATGTTAAGGAAAAAATAAAACAATTCATTTAAACGAAGGAGATTGAGTTCAAGACTGTATTTATTTTAATCCCTAACCTTCCTTTTCAAAAGTTTTAAAAGTAAGACTACAAGATGTTTACTGTATGTATCCAGCTCATGCCTGGAAAATGAGTTAATAAGTCCATCCATATTTATCACTACAAACTATACCTGGAAAATGAGTAATACATTGTCCACTATATTTATCAGCACAAACTAACATTATTTCATTGTTCTGTACTTTTCCCATCCTTCCAACTTTGACCAATGCGTTGGGCCCTTGGGCTAACATAAATATGGTTCTGCCAAAAACAAACCCATACTGAGTATGTAAACATCTCGTTACACAAGTCTGCCATCAGATTACTAAAGAAAAATGTCATTGGTCACTGGTCAAACGGGTAAAGTTGCCCCACCCCCACTCCTCCCCACCCACCCTGTCTGCCAGGAAAATTACCCTGGAACATACTTTTGCTGCAGAGTCAACAAATCCTGGCCCCTTCTCTATGTCCGGCCTTACAACAAGCGTGCAGTTTCAGTCACACCTATCAAGATTACAGACAATGATAAGATACTCTGGTTTTTCTCCAGTTGACCTCCTGGTGCTAATCTTCATCACTTGACAGACTAGTGCAAGCTATCCCTTATGCACAAAAAAACTTAAAACATCAATAATTTCTCCGTATTTTAGAAATAATGAAGGGAAAAATTACTTCAATTACAAATATATTCCTAAAAATCCAATGTCAGAATCAAATACGAAAATATCGAAGTGTTTTCCCTACAACAATTATTTGATACATTTTAAGTGACTTGCGAGTGAAATATGCTTCATAAATGTTTTCTTTTTCCATAAACATTACACAGTCGTTTCTACGTTGGGACATGAAAAATACTGAAAAATCAGTAAGATTTCATGAATTCTTAATTTCGTGACATTGTTGAATACATGAGTTCCCAAATGGTGATCTAGAAATGACTTTTAAATTCACAGTTGATGAGCCATATGGACTCCATATTGGCAAGTGAATCAATATGGGTGTCATCAAGAATTATTTCTGTACAAATGATCATAATTGATTTAAATTTGCCATTGACTCTACTTGCGTATTAATGCGAAAATAAATCCCATCCGAAATATAAGTGATTTACCGTACCCTTAATTGTATTAGGATATAAGAAACAACACAGAATATAACCAGTACAGTGAGAATATCACCATGTATTCACAGAGTGTTGTGACCCAAAATGACCGATTGTAGATTGATGTGATAAAAGGATATAAGTTTGGCTGCTTCAGCTTCTCCGGTCGCCTGGACAATCTTCTGTTGTTTTTCCTGTTTTGCTTTCTCCACAATAAACTGTGCCCTCTGTGCTTCTTGTTGTGCTACCTATTTCCGGAAATAAATTTGTTTAATCAATTTGTTTTTGTTGAAAGAATTTGGAATCTATATAGAACTATTTCCCGTCAGAATATACTTTTAAAAAAAATCATTCAATCCAATCAGGTCTTCTACCATGAAAAGGCCAATATATATTTTTCACTGACAAATCATTAGGAAAGTTATATACAATCATACATATATCTCAATCTAAGTTACCAAAGGAATATTTAAGACTTGTGACAGACAGTAATAGTCTGTATTGTATTTTTTTTACCTTCCTCATTATAACAGTTATTTTCAATTTGAAGTTTTCATATTTTTGTTTTCTTATTTTATTTTCAAAATCATGTTTCATTCAAATGCCCTTTACTATAAGCATTTTCTCTATTTCTGCTTGAAAAATAATGATGTCATCCTGACGTCAATCATTTTTTGTGGTTCGCAAAATGTATGACCTTTCAAGGTCAGCACTCCTTTAGAAGTAATTATAAACATATAATATACCTGTTTTGCTTCAACAGCTGCAGTATATTCCTTGCCAAAGCTGAGCTCTGTGATGGACACATCATCAAGAATGAGATGGAAGTCACGGGCACGGTCAAGCAGCTCTTGTCGTATCAGCATACTGACCTGTTGACGTTGTGTGATGAGCTGTGAGGCATTAAACTTGGCTACCACAGACTTCAGCACCTGTACACAAAAACCAAGGAATATTAACAAATTAAGAGAAAATACATAAATCTTTATTCTGACAATAGAAAAATGTTCAAATTTAAGTAAAATGAATTCCCCAGAAACGATGAACTATCTAGTTGTAGTCTCCTAAATTTTCCCACAATTAAACACCTCAAAAAAATGTTCGATAATTTTTTTCAAGGATTTTTCACACCAAAGTTTACAATTCTATATAATGTTGCATCAGTAATTTTTTCCAAATAAAAAGTGAAAACTAATGGAGCTATATAAATTTTCAAAACTTCCATGTTACTTTACCTCATTACATATAGAGGGCAGCACACGTTCATCATAGTCCTGTCCTAGCTGACGGTAGATCTGTGGTAAAAAGTTTTGGTCTGGGCGAGACAAAACTCGCAGGGAAATGTTCACCATCTGCAAATCTGTTGAATAGTATAACACAGTACATCAATAAGAGTGAATGATCTTTATTCTAGGGTGAAATGGCAAATCTCAAACTGGAAAAAGTGAGAATAGCCTGTCCAAGGTAAGAGGATCAGTCTTTCCCTTGGGTGAATAACAATCAATAACCTCTTTGTAATGGGGACAGAGTTATCTCTACTTACAGAATAATATCTTTACATATTAATATCACAGCAAAGCCTCGTGTCAAACCATTTTCCTCAAAATCATAAGAGCATTCAAGCTGCCTACTATCCATGCTCTTTCAACACTGTCCGATACCTTTACTGCCAGTTGGTGATGAGAGCTTCCTTGGTCTAGCTCTAATGTCGTAAATAATGGGATACTGAAACCATGGTATTCTGTAAAACAATGACAAACTATTTATTAACAATACTATCTTTAAAGCCCCAATATACGTAACATTCACCAAAAATTTAGCATAGAATCTATCTTTAACTGTTGTGTAATTCAATCAATTTTCATAATTCACTATTTATAATTTCAACATCCCTTAAAATGAAAATTGAGTGAAATACTAAATTTCCCTCAGACTGCCCACTGTGAAAGAATTCAGCTTGGACGAAAAAGTGTCTAGACAATTTGACATCTAAATGCTGAATACAAGACTTCATCAAGATGTAATCATTTGCATACTTTCCTTGATGAAGTTTTTGGTCTCCTTTTGTGTTGAAGATGAATAATATTTATGCCAAACATACAAATCTCATCCGTAACATTAGGTAAACCATAATATTATGTGACATATTTGGAAATTTAACTACACATCAAATGATATATGCAAGACACCAAATCATAAGGTCAAGCTTCAAAATTTGCTGAAACCTAGTATACTTTACCTGAAATGAAGTCCTTCTGGATAGACATTTTGCTGAACTCCACTAATACGACTGAATATGATAGATCTGTGACCACCATCAACTGTAAAATAATTAACACAGGATTAACTTATCATATCAAGGATGTGCCAGGTTTGGGTAGCGGAGGAAAACCGGAGTTCCTGGGAAAAAATCACCATATCATTTTAGGGGGAAAGAGGGGAGCAATTTGTTTTGCTTTAGCAGTGATTTATACATGTATATAACTAATATTATTTTAGACAGTTGCAAGATGACAATTATATAAGACCTGTGACGATATACTGAATTATTTTCTGATGCAACTTTTCAGATAAATCTGAGGAAATGTATAATCAATGCATCTAAATGTCAGCATTGAAGTTGTGAACCCTCAACAACCCTTTTATCCTTGTTTAACAAAATATATTAATATTGTGTAAGACCTGAGGGTTACTGGGACTGACATGTTAAGGACCGGTAATAAAATAAACCAACTCGACCCAAAATATCACCACATAAACCGCATGGACGAGTTTGGATATGTGCGAGATGTTTCTCTGTTACCTAACTCAATATTTACCTGTGTAAAACGAGTGAGTAAGACCGTAAATTGCACCTCCAGCTATTGCTATAAGTCCTACTCCTGCTTTCAGACCCTTGCCGCCTGGCATCATCTTTTGTGCATCCTTCATAAAACTCATTTTTCACTTTTAAGTGTAGAATTCTGCGATGACCTCGGAATCCACGTGTGGTAAAGTCTCGTCCTTTGCGAGTTTTCGAAAGTCAACTCGGCTGACATTTAAGCACTGTGACAATGGGGACGAGTTTTACATGAAAAGATACAAATCGCAAGCACACAAACGCTTCTCGCGTAGGAAACTTCACTTCAAAGCGTTCGGTTTACATGATTCTGAAACAAAATGGCGTTGCAGATAGTCAGACGTAGTGTGTCTGTCCTTCGACATTCCATGAGAGCGATATCGCAGTTAGCAACAACGACACAAACGCAACCAGCTGCGCTGAATAAGTTATCACTCTTAAAGTAAGAAATATGTTAATGTGAAAGTTTACGTCGTTGTTACCGTAGATGAACGAATGTTCACTTCACTTTTGGACCACGACCATCACTGTCAGTTTCAGACACCCATACACTAGATCTGCTCGGTATATCGACGGACTTATATACACATGTGTGAGACATAAAAAGATATGCTGTAAATTGTATGAATCGGGCAGCGCGTGGAAAGAGCTAAGATTAACTAACATTTGTATTTGTTGGCATTATACGCCGGGAATTTGGAGCGATAAAGACATCTTATTTCATGCCAATTTAATTATGTAAAATCATCATTTGTTTCGTAATGATTAAAAGTAAGTGAAACAAATTAAGGAAAGCAAAAATGCTGTCATATGATGGTTTTTAGCTCACCTGTCAAAGGGCAAAGTGAACTATTGGCATACCGCAGCATTGTGAATGTCAGATGTGCTGCCTCAAAATAGTTTTGTGCCTTAACGTTTCGAACCCACTTCAGACAGTTCATCCAGAAATGAAAATTCAGAAAAGGTGTTTCACCCCGAAAGAATAATGTGAGCATCAAATGTGGAGAAAAACATGTATGCCCTTAATTGTTCTATAAAATAGTCATAGATCAAAAGAATACATTTGCGAATAACAATTAAAATATTTTTGAAATATACAGGCCTGCCAATTTACTGCTGAGGTCGCTTTTGCCTTTGAAGGGCCTAATGGTGTTTTTATGGGTTGATCGGAAGCCACCTTTTCCTGGAAGGCTCTTGCATATTTCTTGCTGACTTTAATCTATTTGTATCTTATCCCTCTATTATTTTGATAAAGAAATAATACTGCTAATGGTGTGAACACATGACACATGCCCAATCCTCGTGGCATGTGCACCTTGCGGTATGTGCACCTACTGAACTGTTGTTTTCACAACAAGAGAAGATAAAACGCAAGGGGATATGGCTGTACTCATAAAGAAAGTTTTGATGCTTTAAGTTCAGCAAGTAAACAGAGCTATCAGTGATGTCATCTCCAGAAATCAAAGATTTCATTTTCAACCATGTCCTATGTAACATGTGGTGATATCGTCTACGTGAAACAGGATATTGTTGCCTCCTGACACAATTTTTTAAACTTGTAGGAAAGTGTTACAGGTTTTTCTAAGGCCACCAAACTTTTCAAGTGTGAAATTCACTTCTGTGTTTGCTTCTGTATCAGTTTGATATAATAGGTGGGTCTTGGCCCCCTGGGGTTGGAGGGGCAGGGCCCAATAGAGGAAATAGAGCAAACTCTTTAAAGTTCTACACTGATGGCTCAATTCCTGGGACCTCTTATCCTGCATGTGAATGAAACGTGGTCATAAACATTTTACCAGAATAAAGCTTTGCTTAGGCTCAGCAGGCACCCAAAAAACTTCACTCTTATGATCATAATACACTTATGCACCATATTTCATGTATATGTTTGAAAAATGGTTGAGTTTCATCAAACTTTTGAGAACCCACTTTATAGATCACTGAATACTATGAATCATCAAAATGTTTGAAATCGTATTCTGGACTTGCAAAAATAATTGCTCTGCCACTATATTCACTTAAGATTTGATGTCATTTATTTATTACATGTGTTTATATTACAGATGCAGTTCTTGTCGCAGTTTCCATGTCTCTGTTAAACGACCTGATTTGATGGAATTTTTTGATAATAAAGAAAACTGGGGAGAAGAAGCTATAAAAACTGGTGTGTAAAAAGTAGTTTAATGGCAAACAGGTGTTTTATGTTTTACAAAAAGATGGTAGTGAATTATCAAACTCGGATGTGATGATGTATTTAGATGTGATTGAGCTAAGGTATTTTATAGAATGTTATTCAATTGGAATTAAAGTAATTGAAAAAGGAAATTCGGAAAAAAGAAAATGCACAAGGTTTTCTGATTCTACATTATACAAGTGTTGTTATTAGATTGTTTAGAAGATACCAAGGGGAATAAATCTAACCTAGAAAACAGTTCATTTATTTGCTAAATATTACATACAGTGTAATTTTATATATAATATATGTTACATATAAAATTTTACATATGATATGTATATCAAACAGTAAGAAGACTGTTGTAATTCCAATCATTTGAAACAGGTTTAATAAGTTCTATACATAACTAGTGAAAATATTCAATATTTTTAAAGAATATTATGGTAACTAATAGCCTTAATCACAAATTAGCATATGTGGACTTGTACTCTTAAGAAATGTTAAATGTTCCAATATCAAATTCTACTTCAAAATCAATAGCTGTGCTACTTTTTTACTTTGTTTTTCAGTCTTTGCCTGGTAATAGAAACATGAATTGAATTATTTTTGTTTCTTACAGGTCGACCCTGGAAAATGGATGAATTAAGGATAAAGAGTAACACAGATCTGCATAAATTGTGGTGTGTAAGATATTGTTTTATAATCAAAATATTGGTATATGTGTTGATTTTGACAGGAAGTATAGAAATGAAAAAGAAGCCCTGCACATATACAATTAACATTTTCTTTACATCTTCAAATGAAACCAAATGACTTTTGTCATCTGACATTATTTCATTTCGTGGTACCAAGTTTATGTTTTTCTTCATTTTGAAAATGTTTTCTTCTTGCAAGTTTGAAATATGAATCCCGTGAATGTGATGAAAAAAGATATTATTGTCTTCATGACAATTTAAGAAATTTTTAACTTTATAAACTTCAGACTTTTTTAAGTTCTACAAAATGTATTGAATTAAGCTTTGAATTTCTCTCAATGTGAATTACTCCAAAAATTATCATTATTGTATCATTATTTACATCTTATAAACAAGAGAAAAATGAATGACTTGAAAGATACATGTATTTGCATGTAGTTATTGTGGTGTGACAAAAGGTCAAATCTTCATAGGTCAAAATAAAGAAAATTTACCAGCTTTGGGGGAAAAAAAGAGGAAAAAAAACTTTTTAGACTCTCAAAGATAGTTTTTATTCTATGTTTAAAATTTTACCGTAAAATATTATTCGGGGGAGAGAAGGAAATGGCAGATATGTATAGCTTCTCTCATAAACAAATATCTATATAACAAAGAAAAAAATTCATCTGACTCTTTCTATATAACAAATATCTATATAGCAAAGAGAAAAAATCATCTGACTCTTTCTATATAACAAATATCTATGTAGCAAAGAGAAAAAATCAGCTGACTCTTTCTATATAGCAAATATCTATATAGCAAAGAGAAAAAATCAGCTGACTCTTTCTATATAGCAAATATCTATATAGCAAAGAGAAAAAAATCATCTGACTCTTTCTATATAACAAATATCTATATAGCAAAGCAAAAAAAATCATCTGACTCTTTCTATATAACAAATATCTATATAGCAAAGAGAAAAAATCATCTGACTCTTTCTATATAACAAATATCTATATAGCAAAGAGAAAAAATCATCTGACTCTTTCTATAACAAATATCTATATAGCAAAGAGAAAAAAATCATCTGACTCTTTCTATATAACAAATATCTATATAGCAAAGATAAAAAATCATCTGACTCTTTCTATATAACAAATATCTATATAGCAAAGAGAAAAAATCATCTGACTCTTTCTATATAACAAATATCTATATAGCAAAGAGAAAAAATCATCTGACTCTTTCTATATAACAAATATCTATATAGCAAAGAGAAAAAATCAGCTGACTCTTTCTATATAGCAAATATCTATATAGCAAACAGAAAAAATCAGCTGACTCTTTCTATATCTATATAGCAAAGAGAAAAAATCATCTGACTCTTTCTATATAACAAATATCTATATAGCAAAGAAAAAAATCATCTGACTCTTTGACTCTTTCTATATAACAAATATCTATATAGCAAAGAAAAAAAATCATCTGACTCTTTCTATATAACAAATATCTATATAGCAAAGAGAAAAAATCATCTGACTCTTTCTATATATATAACAAATATCTATCTATATAGCAAAGAAAAAAAATCATCTGACTCCTTTCTATATAACAATTATCAATATAGCAAAGAGAAAAAATATCTGATCTTTCTATATCTATATAGCAAAGAGAAAAAATCATCTGACTCTTTCTATATAACAAATATCTATATAGCAAAGAGAAAAAATCATCTGACTCTTTCTATATAACAAATATCTATATAGCAAAGAGAAAAAAATCATCTGACACTTTCTATATAACAAATATCTATATAGCAAAGAGAAAAAAATCATCTGAATATAATATAGCAAATATCTATATAGCAAAGAGAAAAAATCATCTTTTTCTATATAACAATTATCTATATAGCAAAGAAAAAAAAATATAACAAATAGCTATAAGCAGAAAAAAAATCATCTGACTCTTTCTATATATATAACAAATATCTATATAGCAAAGAGAAAAAAATCATCTGACTCTTTCTATATCTATATAGCAAAGAGAAAAAATCATCTGACTCTTTCTATATAACAAATATCTATATAGCAAAGAGAAAAAATCATCTGACTCTTTCTATATAACAAATATCTATATAGCAAAGAGAAAAAATCATCTGACTCTTTCTATATACAAATATCTATATAGCAAAGAGAAAAAATCATCTGACTCTTTCTATATAACAAATATCTATATAGCAAAGAGAAAAATCATCTGACTCTTTCTATATAACAAATATCTATATAGCAAAGAGAAAAATCATCTGACTCTTTCTATATAACAAATATCTATATAGCAAAGAGAAAAAATCATCTGACTCTTTCTATATAACAAATATCTATATAGCAAAGAGAAAAAAAATCTGACTCTTTCTATATAACAAATCTATATAGCAAAGAGAAAAAATCATCTATATAACAAATATCTATATAGCAAAGAGAAAAAATATATAACAAATATCTATATAGCAAAGAGAAAAAATCATCTGACTCTTTCTATATAACAAATATCTATATAGCAAAGAGAAAAAATCATCTGACTCTTTCTATATAACAAATATCTATATAGCAAAGAGAAAAAATCATCTGACTCTTTCTATATAACAAATATCTATGTAGCAAAGAGAAAAAATCAGCTGACTCTTTCTATATAGCAAATATCTATATAGCAAAGAGAAAAATCATCTGGCTCTTTCTATATAACAAATATCTATATAGCAAAGAAAAAAAATCATCTGGCTCTTTCTATATAACAAATATCTATATAGCAAAGAAAAAAAAATCATCTGACTCTTTCTATATAACAAATATCTATATAGCAAAGAGAAAAAATATCATCTGACTCTTTCTATATAACAAATATCTATATAGCAAAGAGAAAAATTCATCTGGCTCTTTCTATATAACAAATATCTATATAGCAAAGAAAAAAAAATCATTTGACACTTTCTATATAACAAATATCTATATAGCAAAGAGAAAAAATATCATCTGACTCTTTCTATATAACAAATATCTGTATAGCAAAGAGAAAAAAATCATCTGACTCTTTCTATATAACAAATATCTATATAGCAAAGAAAAAAAATCATCTGACTCTTGACTCTTTCTATATAACAAATATCTATATAGCAAAGAGAAAAATTCATCTGACTCTTTGACTCTTTCTATATAACAAATATCTATATAGCAAAGAAAAAAAAAATCATTTGACACTTTCTATATAACAAATATCTATATAGCAAAGAGAAAAAAAATCATCTGACTCTTTCTATATAACAAATATCTATATAGCAAAGAAAAAAAAAATCATTTGACACTTTCTATATAACAAATATCTATATAGCAAAGAGAAAAATTCATCTGGCTCTTTCTATATAACAAATATCTTTATAGCAGAGATAGAAAAAAAAATATCATCTAACTTATGAAATCCCTTTGAAGATAATATCAAACTTTCATACGGGGAAAGATATTACTATACAAGTAAATGAAACAAATATAACATTTTACTGTAAAGCAAAAAAACAAAAAAATTACACAAAACAAATTAATGTGACCATCACAAGGTCAAAATGCAAAAAAAGTTGTGCAAAAGGTGTTTCTTTGTATTGTACAAATGAAAAGGTTTGTGAAATCTAGATTAACAGTGGAATTTTGGTGTGAAATGTGTCATATTTGTAGGCTTAGCTTGCTGTTTATGTTTCCAGGTATGTACTTTTGAAGGAAAGAAACATGTTGTTGACAATGAGACATGCATACAGACAGGAATTTGAAACCTTTCCAAATGCAGATCGAATTGACAAGGTATACCCACTTGATTTTCAGTTTCATTTGTTTTATTTAGCAATTGAATTTTTTTTCTGCTTAGACATTGGTTAGTTCAAGCTCAGTAAATATCTGTTCCACTTATTTGAACCCATCCTTTAAGCCTTATAAATCCTTGTATAGAAATAACCAAATTTCTGCAAATAAGATCTGGTAAAGGGTCCTTTTGTCTTTGTATTGGGTCTGATCCCCCTTGGGAGAGAGGAATGGGACCTACAAGGGGAAAGATTGATAAAACTCTAAAATCCATCTGTTCGGATGAAGATATTTTCACCAAATTTTGAATAGGGCATCTTTGGGTGAAGGAGGCTCAACTTTGTTTAAAGGTATGGTTGCCTCTATTGTGGCCTGGGGTTGGGATAATTCCATGAATGACAGGGCTTTGTCCAAAATTGGTCTGAGGCATCCTCCTGTTAAGATTTTAATTTTATATACCATGTAGTCTGACCAAAATGGGGGTATTTATGCTGTATCTGGTTTGTCAAATAAGAGCAAAATTTTCAAAAGCCATCTTCTGTTGCAAGGATGTTAACAGCATTTGGTTTTGAATATTTAAAAATCTCCATGAAAACTTCTTTGTTCACAATCACATTTGGTCCAAAAAACATAGAGAGAAAAAAAGGTAGAAGAATTTTAAATGTTTACTTCTTTTCCTTTTTAGGCCCTACCTGTCAGACAATTGATTAATATTAAGCCCAGATGAGTTATTCAAGCTAATTGTATCTGCTGTTGACCGTACTAATATTTTTGCTCGGTTTAACAGGTGGAGGAAAGCATGGAAAATTTGATGAATGTAATAAAAGAGCGTGACAATGCTTACAGCTTACTTGAAACTGGTAAACCAGCAGAGCCGGATATGGTTGAAGATCTTGACATGTTTGGAATGCCATATATGAGAAAAGCAAGAGAGCATGCAGTACCAAAATCATCATTCAGTATCTCATCAAGAAAACAGGACCCATGGTTGAAAAAATGTCATCGCCTCCTTCGTGAAAAACACATGAAAGAGAAAAACCGCCGTTTGAAGCGTGAAGCAAGGTATGTCAGAAGGACAAGAGAACATTTTCCTGATGTTAGTGAGGAGGACATTGAATACGGACTGAAACGTGAAACAAGAAGGCGCAAACAAGGATTTTATGATATTGAGTAAAGATTGTGTACTGTTACCGTAATTGTATTGTATCATTAAAACTGATTTTTTTGTGATTTTATTTGTGATGACTTATTTGTTGGTTCATTTCAGTAAAGAAATTTTTGGCTTAGTTAGTTTGAAGAAGCATTTACTAAGGATGCATTTTTTACATTCCTTAAAAGAAAAAAAAGTAGTAGAAAAAATCGTAATTGTAGAAATCCATATGATTGCTGTTCCATTATAAAGTCCAAACATAAAATTTATTTGGCATGGGGAGAAATGTGAAGTAATATAAGCCTGTCTCTGCCTTTTGTTTAAATGCCTTAAAGATAGTGGGTTTAGTGTTAAGATCTCCACATAAAGTGTCTAGTTTTGAAAAGTGGAACTAAACCTGTTGTAAATATTATTATATTTTGCCCATGTGACAAGGGTTTAATCACTGGGTCATAATATTGAATGCCATTGAAGTCTCGCCATTGATCATATTTGTACAATTACTAGATTTGAAGAGGCAAATTTGTAACATTTTTGTCAGTGAAATATAAAGAAATATCTCGCTGATAAAAGTGTTATTTTTCACCAACACATTTATAGCCCACCGTCTGAAATTATCCTACATCTGTGGTCCATGGTCCGTCAATTTTTGTTATTGCTAATTCTTGAGACGTACTGGTTGGATCTCTCTCAAATTTCATATGTAGGTATCCCTTGCTCTCTAGTAGTGTACATTTAATTTTATGACTGATCAGAAAAACAAAATGGCCCACAGGTTTCAATCTTGGATTTTGACTTGGAAAGTTTGTTATCGCTATTTCTTATGTACCTCAGACATCCCTCTCAAAATTCCTTTTTAGATGAACCTTTGTCACTTGTTTTGCACATTTGATTTTGGGTGTGATCAGAAAATAAAATGGTCTACATTAGGCCATATTGGATTTTGACTTTGAAAGATTACTATCACTATTTCTTGAGAAGTACACCATGGATCTTTCTTAAATTTCATATGTAGATGACCCTTTGTTCCTTGTTGTGCCCATTTGATTTTGGATCTGATCAGAAAAACAAAATGGCCTACAGTCGGCCATATTGGATTTTGACTTCGAAAGTTTGCTATCGATATTTCTTGAGTAGTACACCATGGATTTTTCTTAAATTTCACATGTAGATTCACCATTTGTCCATGTGCCCGTTTGATTTTGGGTCTGATCAGAAAAACAAAATGGTCTTCAGTCGGCCATATTGGATTTTGACTTCGAAAGTTTGCTATCGATATTTCTTGAGTAGTACACCATGGATTTTTCTTAAATTTCACATGTAGATTCACCATTTGTCCATGTTGTGCCCATTTGATTTTGGGTCTGATCAGAAAAACAAAATGGCTTTCAGTCGGCCATCTTGGATTTTGACTTCAGAGGTTTGTTATAGCGATTTCCTAATAAGTACAGCATAGATTTTTTTTTCAAATTTCATGTATAGTTGTGCCTGTTTAGTTTGGGACTGATCAGAAAAAACAAAATGGCCAACAAGCAGCCATCTTGGAATTCGCATAGTGAAGATTGCTATCCCTATTTCATAAGAAGTACTGAATGGATATCCTAAGTATGTTCATTCGATCACTACATGTGCCCGTTTGATTAAGGGACAGATCAGAAGAAACAAAATGGCTTCAAAACACGCATGTTGGATTTGGCGGGTAAATATGATCATCACTATTTCTGCAAAGGAATGTTCAAATTTCTTATCAATAAGAGCAATAGCATAGAAAAGAAAAAGAAGGTAAAAGATCTTTCAAAGACCAAATGAAGATCAAACAATGGTGGGCGCAAAGATCCTTCAGATATCTCTTCTTGTCAAATGTGACCCGCGAAAATGAAACAAAAGGTTGATCTTGTCAGTCTCATTATGAATTAGAAACTTAATCAATACCTGTGCAAAATATAAACAAAAGAAACATTTACACAGAGACTCACGGAAAAGCACAAGGGGAATAAGACCAGATGTTCTTCTGCTTCAATGACAACACCTGTCATGTAGATATTTCCCAAATATATCATACTGTTCTTTGAAAAACTGCCATAGTTGATTTCGTAGGAAGAAATCATGGCCTGGTGTCCAGCCTAGGTTGATAAAACAACTGCTTTTCTCCATTGCCACAAATTTGTTTAATAACAGTAAGGGATATTTGATTTATTGATTAGATACCGTAATAACATACATGTATAGGGATAAAATGAACATTGTCCAACATTTAGGACAGCATGAATGCAAGACAGTTACTTTCATAATGTTTCTTTTACGGTCAATGTGTTAATGCCTTTGAAGCATGGTGCTTGATTTCTGTTTCACTGGAAATTTCCATATTGTCAGTGCTGTTCTTGTTCTTACCATGTTTATACTAATTAAACTAATAATTAGTCATGATTCCATATACACAACATGTATCTCAAATAGAAATCTAAATCAGAATTCTCCTTGAACTGAGCTTTGCAATACATTTAACATTAAACAATGTTTGCGTGACTCTATTATCTAGAAAAATCCAATATATTTACATGGTTTCAGATCATTCGTCAAACATACACGACAAAAGTAAAAGTATTAATGTTTAATGTCATGTCTGCCTATCATATATTAACATCTTATATGTACTGCCTCGATTCACTTACATGCTTCTTATTCAACCTACATGTATAGCCATGACTAAATTATTGATCAATTCGATAAAACGGAACTTTTATTACGATTTTGGTACAGTTGATAAAATCCATAATTGCACAAAAGTTCATTTTTAATTGTTTATATCATGAGACTGAGTAGGCGGATGGAATACTGCTGTCAGTTTATGTCGAAGAGGTAGCACTCTCAAGTAAACAAGACAAGTGGCTTTTTCAAAATGGACAAAATCGCTGAACGAGCAATTCATTGAATAATACTTGTATCGGAAAGGTCTAGCACCTAAGTATATCCATACAGATATGGTAACAATACTAGGGAACGATGCCCTTCATATGCTACAGTAATAAGGTGGTTGGCAGAATTTAAGAGTGGAAAGCAGAGCCTTGGCAGTGATGCCCGTCCTGGAAGGCCTGTCACTGTTGCAACCCAAGAAATGGTCAATTCAGTCCATTATATTGTTATGGTTAATAGGCGAGTTACAGAGACATATATAGCCAGTACATTTGGTATTTCACTAGAAGGAGTACATTTCATTATTACGGGAAGTTCTTGCAATGAAAGATCTCTAATCCAGTTGGGTACAAAGACTTCGGACAGTTGATCAGAAGCACACCGTGCGGACTTGTCACGTGCTAATCTGAACCTTTTAGAGGCAGATACTGCAGAGGTTTGTGACTGGATGAAACGTGGGTCCATCATTTCACCCCAGAGACCAACCAACAGTCAAAACAATGGAGCACCCTGGTCCCCCCCCCCCCGTCCGCCAAAGAGCCCGCGCGAAGACTATTCCATCAGCTGGAAAGGCTATGACCTCGTTTTTCTGGGATGCTGATGGTATTCTGATGGTAGATTATCTGCAGAAAGGGACAAACAATCAAGGACACATATGATGCATCACCTCTTAGGCATTTAAGAGAAAATGTTAAACTCAAGCGCCGTGAAAAACACGGTAAAGGTGTGTTGTTCCACCAGGATAATGCCCCTGTTCACGTCAAGTATGTCATTACCATGGCTGCCATTAACGATTGTTGCTTTGAATTGATTGATTATCTACCTTAATCGTCTGATCTCGTCCCATGAGACTTTCATTTATTTCCAAAATCGAAAAAGGCTATTTCCGGTACCCACTTGAGGTCAGAAACCCCACACTGTCCACTTCAAGATAGACCAATTTTACCAAGGATTTATTTTTTAAATTTTGATTAAAACCTTTACAATGGGGTAATCTAATGAACAAAATATCACGTATGGTCACACCGAGAAACCATGTACTACTACCATATGCAACCCTTAAAGTACAGAAAACGCCATTTTATATAGCTTCAATCTGGATAATGAGTTTAAAACATATTCCGGTCAACTCATTCGGATTAATGTGCAAACTAAAAACATAAAACAATAAAATTTCGGAATACAGTAATTTACATTATGCTGTAAAATATTATATAATCAGATAACTCATAGACCAGTACAACATATACATAACAGTATGATACGTGATAAAATTCTTTTTCTGACAATCTACACCGTCAAGCTGGAATTATTGATATATCATATTGTTTGTGTGTAGTTGCGGAAGAGTTGAGTCTAAAATTGTTTCACATTGTAATATGAATTTGTACATCAAACGGAATATAATATTTTTCAGGGTGAAAAAACATTTGCCAGAGATAGAAGGGTAAGTGTAGATAGTCGATAAACTGCGTTTCTGGTTAAGTGGTTTACTGACGTTGCATACTATTCAATAAAGTGAGTTTAACACGTGGTAAAGATCGCGTCACATCAATTTGTGCGTTTGACCATATGCTGGTTTCAATTTTAGACTTGATACAGAAATAATAATATACCAACATGTTTTCAAAATGATCATTAAAATTCATAATCGATGAAAGGCGATTAAAATATTAGGGAGAATACAAGACATGAGACCAGGTGTTCCGGAGCGGAAACGCCTTATTTCACTATACTAAATTGTATAATTGGGTGGTCGGTGGCACATTGCAAACGCTTTCGCCTATCTTGCAGCCGTTCGTAGTTCGATTCCCGGAACGGTCGAGAAAATGTATGGGGTCAAATTACATATGAAGGTTCCCATTTGTCCATTGTTGTGCCCATTTGTTTTTGGGTTTGATCAGAAAACAAAATGGCCTACATTCGGCCATCTTGGGTTTTGACTTTGAAAGTTTGATCATACTATGTCTTGAGAAGTACACCATGGATCTTACTTAAATTTCATATGTAGATGACCCTTTATCCCCTGTTGTGCCCATTTGATTTTGGGTGTGATTACAAAAACAAAATAGCCTACAGTCGGCCATCTTGGGCTTGACTTTGAAAATTTGATCTCACTATTTATTGAGAAGTATACCACGGATCTTTCTTACTGAGCCAGATCCAC